TTTGAAACCGAACAGAGATGGATGTTTTTAAGTGGTTTAATACTGCAGCTTTGACTGCAGCTCTAAAACTTTCTACGGCAGCTCGCTGCTTCCTGTTTTTATGCAACAGAATCCTCTTCATCTTGTGGGTCTGACCTGCTGTCTGTCTGCATTCAGCTTTTTTCAAGTGTATGAAGTGTGAGGGTGACACACAGGATGATGTGTAGAGGTGTTCAGCAGTTGGCCTCCTCTGATCAGAACACCTATTCCCACATCTTTTCTGTTTTTACTGAAAACACTGGCTGTGGGTTACATGGCTGATCTGAGGTCAGCGTCAGAAGCTTGGATCTGCTTTAATAATCAGGAGACCTCTGAAGGCAGCAGGACAGAACTTTTATACACTTTTTGTATTTTTATTAAAAACGTGAATTAAAAACCTTCATCCTCAAAGTAAAAGCGTTACTTAAATACCCTGAGGTTTGGTTTTGGAAAGTTTGTGATTGTTGTGTAGATTCAGAATCCACCTGGAACCAGCTGCCTGCTCCACTACTTCAAGAAAGGGGCTCTGGTGGAGGGATTCTGAGTGGATTTGGATTAAAGCGGCGTCATTGTTGTGTCCTCAGGATGCTTCAGGCGAGCCGATGGTCAACTCGTGTCCCAGCAACGGTGCCGTCATCCAGGGATACCTGTTCAAACGCTCCAGGAGGAAATCAAAGACCTGGAAGAGGTACAGCGCCGCTGTTCGCCCTGACCGGTCTCTGTTTAGGGTTAATCCGTTTCCTCTGGTTACAGATGCTGGTTCACCATAAGAGATCATCAGCTCATCTACAAGAAGTCCCACAAGGTAAGATTCTCAGATCGGGTCGCAAGAACCAGCTGAAATGATCAATATAATCCAGCAGCTCAAATGATTTCCTCCTGTTTCTCTCTAATCCTGATGATTTTAGTGGAATTACCAACTTTTTAAATTTGACTTTCCTTCCCTTTCCTGTTGATTTAGCTACGAATCTGATTCAGAAACTTTTGACTAAACTTTTGACAATTAAAATCCGAGCCTCAACAGAACCGTCTGCATTTTTCCCTCTATGATCCGATCCATAAAATGAAGCTCCTGATCCCTAAAACTTGAATCCATTAGCTTTGAATCTAGAGCTCAGTCTGAACAGGTGATTCTGTATGACATCAAACATTCAGCCAATCCGTTTGCCCCGTTGGTCTCATGACTCAGCTGCTTCAGGAAGACGGCGCCAAGCGGTTCTGTGGTGAGTGAGCTCTGCTGCGCTTCTGACTTGGTTCTTTATGTTACTGTGCTTTAATGGGCCCATCTTTATGTGCCTTAATGGGTCCATCTTGTTTTTGCAAAAAAAAAAATGTAAAAGTTGGCAGTAAGTTAGAAGAAATGACTATTTGATGAAGTGTATTGATATAATCGTCTGTCTGACAGTTGACTTAACTCTGTGAACTGTCTATGTAGTTGATGCCACTGCAATAGTGAATTCTGTCAAGAATTTAATTTAAAGAAAATGACTTCACCTTATTGTAGAAGGTAATTTGGTCAGGCCAGATGTCCCTCCTCAGTTAAAGGCTCCGTACAGTAAAGATATGTTACTCTATCTAGCTGTCTTCACTGTGATTTGCTACAACCATGTTTAGAAACTAGTCAAATGTTGTTCAACGCACATATACGACTCAACAAGTAACAGTTTATCAAACCCCCTTTGGATTCTTGATATGTTGCCATGGTGACTACTCAGTTTCACCAATTAAACAACAGAAAGCGCAGAGAAATCGTAGATAGAGTAAAGCTGGGTATACACTGTATGATGTTTCCAATCATTGCTCTTGGCTAAAGCTCTGACTGTACAACAAAACCACAGGGTTTAAGTTCAGGATATCTGTTTTTATACTTTACAACCCGATGCTCTGGGTCTGGTGCAATCTTACTGCTCACAGTAGCTACGTTTACATGCGCAAATTTAGCTGATCTGAACTAAATCTCGGTTGATCGAAAGTTTAAAATCTCTGTTTACATGGACACCGAATAAAATGATCTGATAATGGAGTGTTTATACATGTAGCAAGCTTTGGATCAGATTAAATAATTTGAGCAAAATGCAGAACTGTCTAGCTTATAGCAAACACTGTAATAGTAGTAGAGGCTGCCTGTTTTGTAAACAAACCCGTACTCAGCGGTACCTTGTGCTAATGCTCCTTTGCGGGGTAGATGGCAGGTTCATCTACATGTTACATTTAGAGCCACCTGCCCCACCAAGGAGCAGGAGCCAGTGAATGAAGATTAGTTTAGAAAAACATCACACTGATGCAAAGATGATTTTACTCCAAAGATCCAAAAGCTTGTAAACACGGACGCCAAGCGGAAAGGAAATGGGAAAAAAAAACATCTCTTTCCAATCTGACCAAATTGGATTAGA